AAAAGGATGAAATGTTTTTTCTTCGGAATGGAGCAAGTAAGAAGGGATGCGAAGGCAGCACAAAACAAGAAGCGGAGAGTCAAGCAAACTGAAATATGGCAGGCTGAAAAACCCAAAAGGGAACACTTTTTCCCGTAATGTGTAACTCAGCTGGGAAATTCTGTGCTTCTGTTCAACTGAGAACAAATCAAATTTTAGAGAGAGATAACCAAATTTATAGCAGTAGTCCATGCTAGAGCAGGAAGAGCAATGGCAAGGTCATTAGAAATGCACTGCTTCCAGCCTTCAGTAGCTGGGTGTTTGGGGGTTGAGAGGGACAAATAGCCAATAACTATAGGTAGCAGAGTTGCACTTTGAAGCTTAGTTCTGACTATAAGAGTGTAGCTTGCGTGGACTGTCGCCTTTGCAGTTCCTTTGCTTTTATCATTAAACTCAGTGTTTTATAACAGTTTGGGGTAGCTGGGGTTTTGGATGTCCTGTGCAGAATGCCTTTTTCCTGTCTCCCTGCATTGTGGTTCGCTGTTGTACAGAGGAAATGGAAATCACAGCAGTGCAAACAAGCCAAAAAAGATTTAAGCCTTGACTAAGCTGACAGTCACTCTTGTGACAGTCACTTGGTGTTGTTTGGATTAGGCTCTTCAGAGTCTTTTCAGCCTGTTACAACTGTTGTTTCATTTGCATCTTGGTGTTGCCAGAAAAGCAGTGGCAAAAGCGTGCTCTGGGTAAGCCAGATCTCTTCCTCTGCAATGGAAACTCCCCCCTTCCCTTAGTGCAGTTGACTTGAAATTGTGATTCATTTGTCTAAAGGCCTTTCCTGGTTTCACTTTGTTTTGGAGCAGAAACCTCCTTTCTTCCTTTTAGCTCCTGGTGTCTTCTGCCCTGGAATACAGACACTGGCCTGCACAAGTATTGGCTTGCATAATGCTGCTTCAGATAAAGGTCATAAATGGTCTTATTTGGAAATTAATTCAAATAAGAAAGAGAAGGAGCCAAAACCAAGCCTCTACTGGGCATGTTAATAATGTCATTTGTTTACAGAGTGTAAGATCACTGCTAGAGGACATCCTGAATCATTGGCTGTTGCTCTTACTGTTTGCCCTTGGTTGTCCCTGTTGTGGGGGAAGCAAGTCCAAAGGTCAGAGAGACTCTGCTGGTCCAACACTGCCTGAAGACAGCTATTCATCTTCTGGAAACCCAGGCTGATATTTTGAAAGATCAGTGTTATGATTTTGATGCCTAAAAAAAAAAAAAATAGATGGGATTCACTTCATTCCATGGACTCATTCCAGTACAGTCATTTGGCACTGCAACCAGGAGGAATTAGTGCTGCAGTTCTTGAACACTAACCAGGAAAAAGGAGATGGTTGTAATGTCAGAAGCGTGTGGCAGCAGATCAGAACTGGTGTTCGGGGCTGCGACCACGGTGCGTGTGACAGGAAAGCCTGGCGGCATGCGTTCTGTCGTGCTTATTTCTTGCACATGTAAAATGTGTGTGGGGTGGGGTTTTGGGGTTTTCTGAGCAGTCTTCAATCCAGTGTTTACAGAAATATTCCCCACAGAAAACATATTTTGTTTAATGCTCCTCTTACACACAAAGGGTCTGGGAAGGCACAGCCAAAATGCAGTCTTTAGGAAAAGGTGTTTACTGTACAGCAGGCAGGGCTCCATGTAGAACGTATGCTGGGTTTCAGCAGGTAGCAGGTAAAAGAGCAAACAAATAGGGAGCCATATTGTCAGCCATGCTGAAAAGTGCTCTGGTGCCCTTTCCTAGAGCATTTTCTCATCAACAACAACAAAATCAGATGTTTCTATCAGAAACATGAATAGCACAAACACATGGCTCTTGGCTCTTTCCTTCAGTAAGTAGCAGCAGCAATTAATTAGCTCTTGGAACATGTTGGATCTATAGAGAGAATATTAAACCCTCACTTTTTTTTTGAAGGATTAACAGTATTTCTGGGCAGTTCAGCAGCATCAATGATACATGCTTAATGTGTGGAAGAAGCTGGCATTCTGGCTTTGGCAGCAGGTACACAAAGGGTGTCTTCCCACAAGTTCAGTTGCATTCTTGGCTAAAGAGAACACATTTCACTTATTACAGTAAATAAAGCAGGTGATATTCAAACACTTTGCAAAGGTCTCCTGGGTGTAGCTATGGATAGTAGGTAGTATTTGTGCTCCATTTTGTATGCTTGTCAACAGCTGTTCGTGTCAGACGTCTTTTTTTTTGTTAATGCAGGTTGTCCTCAGGAAAGTAATGAAAAGGAGTGAGCATTGTCTCAGCTGCCATAAAGTGTTATGTTCTCTTTGGTATTAATCATCATTCTGAAGTTCATTAACTTTAATACACTTTAGTCTTTATATGTCATCAGTTGAACCCAAGCCTTCCAGATGAGTCATTTGCTATATGCTGGATTTGTGGGGGCAAGCTGATTTTTGAATATAGTGAACATTATGGATAGGCTTCTCCTTCTGCACTCTGCTCATCGCATTGAAATTGCATTTGTTAAACAGAGAAGGTGTTACGAGAGAGGCAGGGTTGTGACAGCCCAAAAGAAGAAGAGAAACCAACTGCAGAGGCAAGGTCCCTCATGGCATGATAGCGAGGGTGCCACTGGGGTGGTGTAACAGCTCTGATTTTCTTTTTCCTTTTGCTCCAGTGCATAAATTGGGCATTGCCCTGTTGTGGCAAAATGAAGCATGTAGTTGAGGAATGTCCCCAAAGCTTGCTTGCACCCAACTTGGGCTGTGCACAAAGCAATGCAGATGTATGGGCTTGAGCCCAAAAGTGAGTGTTAGTGAACACTGAGCAAGCTGGAGACCCCTGAGGGATGCCAGCAGAGCTCAACTGATATCCTCAGCAGCCTCCTTAGCACACCAGCTGCCTTGCCAATATCCTGTGCTGCCCAAAAATCACATCACAGGTTGATTTTGAGGAGGGACATAAGGCAGGATAATGCAGCCACTGACCTTGTGGACTTTTACAGGGAGCTCACCCAGTGCTAAGGGGCTGGCATGTCGCAGAAGGTGCTTGTGGAAGGTTTGACAAATAGGCGGTGAAGGCTGGCACTGTACATGGAGCAGAGGCAGGGGTTGGTGTACTGTGTATGAGATGAAAGATGAGGACAGGGCTAGGTCAGGAATAACACTGTATTTTGGGCAGTTGTCTTTTGCACTGTCCAGATTCCACATAATCAGTTTTTCCATCTCCTCCAGTAAACTGAAGGCATTTGTAATTCATGCTTTTAAACATTGCTGTCTATTTCTGCTACTTTATGGATTAAAAAAAAAAGCCCTGGACTTGTACACACAGAGGTATAATAGAAGAAAATAAAGATCCTTCCATAGCATCAGGTCATCACTCTTCTGGCTGCATGAAGCTCACCTATTGACAGGAATCATCTACCTCCAGCTGATCTTACTTCTCAGCCAAGGTCTGAAAGTCTGTCACCTCCTGTCATGATCTGTCATATAAACATCTCATGCAGTGTTAACCTAACAGTTAGAAAGATTTGTTGCAAGTCTGTTGGATCGTTTATTTGTTTTATTTTTTAAACCACTTAATACAACGGGGGTGAATTTTCTTATAGGTTAAGGGCAGAGGCTGGGTCTTAATTTATCCCAGTAATCTGCCCAGGCTGTGTGCAGGAATCCTGCAGACTACATGAAAAGTGCTTGAGTCAGACTCTTCTCTGCTCAAGACTCAATAAGGGCATGAGTTGATCTAAACACATATATCTTCTGTTCAGGGGGGATAAAGGGAGGAGGAAAGAAATCAATGCTGTCTCTGGCTGAATTTCTAGTTGTGTTTCACAAGGCTGTTACTTGGCTCATCTCCTTCCCTCCAGACATTGCAGAATCGCCCTGCCGAATTCTCTCTGCATTGGACTGCCTGAATTTTTCTCAGAGAAAACAGGCTGGGCCTTTTCCTTTAGCTTCTTCTCTGTCTTGTTCTTTTCTTGCCTTCCACCTTTCCCCTCTTTTTTGCCTTCTCTAGGCTGTCACAAACTGTGCCTCTTGATGTTCTAGCTGTTCCAAAGCCTTCCTCTCCTGGGCTCTGAGAGAGCAATTACACATGAATTGTTTTCCAAACCCTGAGAGCTGCAGTGTCCTGTTCTTGGCCCCAGAAAAAAAATATTGATTTGTACAGATTTTGCTGATTTGTATGGAGGCTTTAAAAGAAGGAAGAGGAAAAATGCCTACTAAAAACCATCTTCATTCACATGAGCAAAAAGTGATTTGTGTGTGTAAGATTTGTAAAGGCTTCTTGGCAGAACTGGGAGAAATAAGCCATAGGTTGTTAAATAATCTTTAAGGTCCCTGTACTATGTTATGGCTTCAATTCAGAAAATACTTATATCACTACAACTGGTCTTAAACATCTTTGCGTAACATAGTTTAAACTACTAAATTATTTTGGTTTTTAGACATAGTTTAATTATAGTGTAAAACTTAAACATAGTTATTTCCTCTTTTAAACAAGCTCTTGCTGGTTTTTGTTCTCTGAAGACTCTTTGCTGTCACTAAACAATTCCAACTAAAGCGCTGAAAGTGCTTTGAAATACATTGTAATGATGATAAGAAATCACCATGTTCAAGGTCTGGAGAGAGTGAAGAGTGTGGTTATAGTTTTGAAACACCCAAATATTTTGCCTAAAACAAAACACCTAATCTTTGCACCACATCATGTATTGTATGGAAGAATCAATCAATCAGCTGTAAAGTCTCTTCTCCATTAAGTAGTTTGTCTTCAGTTCTTGACTAGGTGAAGGGCCCAATAGGACACAGGTCCTATCCTCAGCTACATCACTGGGAACAAGACTGGGGCCAAAGTAATGTTTGAAAGGTTTTCTTTTATTTGTAGAACAAATGTTTTCACCCAACTGTAGCACAGTCAAACAGTGCGAAGGAAACATAACAATACCCCTGTCTATTTATCTGTGTTTTCATAAGGTCACCCATCACCATGGTATCCAAGTGTCTTTCTTCTTTCCTTTAAGGGTCCTGGTCAAGAGTTGAAAGTAAGGAAAAGAGAGGAAGGAAACCACAAAGAAAGAAGCATATGAAAAGTAAAAAAAAATACAGACCCGGAGGTAAACCTACACACTCAGAGGTAATTTGCCTTGAGGAGCAAGAACCCTTGAGACCTATGTGTAGACTGTGGAAAAAAGAATCTGTGAACAATAGTAAAGGCTATGAACGTGCTATCCTCTGACAGGTATGTAAACTTTAAGATTAAAATAACAGCTTCAAAAATCTTTCTGTCAGAGTGAGTTTGCTTTCGCTAGTCAGGGTTTCAGGGGAAGTATCACAAAGCCAATGTATATCAAGTGGAGATAGCAAAGGAAAATACTGTGTGAAATTTCTAAACAGGTCAGTTCTTGAAGCACATTGTCTATAGCCTGACAAAGTTATCATGACATTAAAACAGGGTTATATAAAATAAAATCAGGTAAATAAGTGTTAGAGCTGATAGATTATTTTCTGCATATGTTGAATGATCTCAAAGCAAATTTCATACTGAAGAAGGAAGAAAAAGAGTGAACCAGGAGGGGCACAAAATTAAAGTTGCCTTTTGTTTGGTTTTGTGTCAGTTATTGGTTTGATCAGAAAGTATTTTCACCAACAATTCTGGCAATCCCAATAAGCATTCACTTTACAATTGGGAAGGGTTCCTTAATAGGCTTTTAAAGTTTTGTCTCAATTTAGCAATATACTCTATCATGTTTTGGTTTGGGTTTTTTTTTCCTATTGACGTTCATGGTGATACCAAGGAGAGATGGTGGGTATTTCAATCACACGTTTGTTACCCAGTCTCCCTCTGTGCATGCTATCCTGAAAACTGTGTTGTGAGAAACAGCCTTGTGTTTTAATGGTGTCAGTATGCAGTCGTCATACTGCTTGTGGAGAAGAGGCGGGAGGGTGGGAGCAGCCAAGTGTCCTCACCTCCATCCCTGGAGTGGGAGCCCTAACTGCTGTGAGTATGCAAACCTTAGAGTTAAGAGACATCTGAAGAGGATGGTGATAATAAGGAGCTAAGTGTGTCTTGCTCATGTTTATTTTCCCAGTTTGATTAAATATAAATGTCTGAATATCAACTATTTGTATGCTAATCACATCCCTTCAACAAACACAAGCCACTAACCAAACTAATTTTTGTATACTACGAGATTTCTTGACCACAGAAAGCAGACATGATATATATAAAAGGAGTGAAATAATTCAGCATATGCTCATTGCTACTTCGTTAAACAGCAGCTTCCTCCTTCCGGAGACCTTCCTTGAGGTTTGCATATGACCACATGTAATGATGTGGTTTCTTTTCACTAGTAATAGCTTTCTGAGGCAGCAAGATGTGGTGCAAAATCTTACTACTCAATAAGTGGCATTCTACTGACCTAGTTACCCCAAAAGCTAATTGCTAGCTTGTATATTTGCCACACTTCCCAGCAGCACAGTAGACTTCATAAAGTGTCTAGCAAAAACTTTAGCTCCTCTCAGGCCATGTTCAGGTCAAGTATAAGGCCCACTAGAGTCAATGGCTGACTTACATTGTGAAGCGAAGTAGACTGAAAGGTCAAATTCTCAAAATCACCTCATGAACTCTGGCATTTACTTTGATAAATCTCATGTCTCCATATGTAGCTACCAGTTCAACAAGCTACTTAGATCTATGACCAGCTTAGAAAGATGTGAGTCATTGCACTGACTTCAACATGGTGACTCACATCCTTCACCAGCGTCCTGTAAGCTGCCCCTCTGGGTTGGCCCTTTTGCTCCAACAGCCTGTTGAGAAGGCCTGTCTGCGGTTTCAGGTGTTTATTAAAGGCAAATGGGTCATGGTGATGGATTGTGTTTTGGCTGCCTGCTTGGAAAGTCTGACCCCAAATAATGACCCCAAATATTGGGATCTCTGTGTGATTCTCTCCTATTTTATTCTACCAAGAATGTCACATGTAAAGGCATTATTAATTCAAGAGGAAGAACCGTTCCAGAAACTGCCCCCCCCCACACCCCAAACTCTCAAAGAGGAGCAGTAAAATTGTTTCTTTCTTTTAATTGTTTTGTTCTTATTTCTATGCAGTGAACTTCGTCACAAGTCCGAAGAAGTGTTCACCATCATTCCTCAGACCCGCTATTTCTGCATGTACATCAGAGAATCACAAAATTCAGAGATGAAAAAGTTCCTTTGCATTAGATCATCTCATCCCTGCCCTTCCTGACACAGGTTTTCTCTCCCTGTACAGTATATTCTCTAGCGCTTTGTCCAGTCTAGCTTTAAGTAGATTAAATATGGTACTTTCTCACTGCCCTGTCAGAAGCTGTTGGAGAGGCTTGGAGGTAATTGACACCGGCACCCTTTGAAGGTGTGTTGTGGACCTTACCACACTTGTCATTTGTATCCAAACACAGTGCTTTCCTCCAGCTGTCATGAGTATTGTGTGGCCATAATTCTTTCAGACCCATATACAGCCTGTGCTGAACAGTTATAACTAAGATGGAACAAAAGAAATGAAAATGTGGTTTTGGTTTCTTTTTGGCAGACAGTGTACATAGGGTTAATTCTTCTGAGCAGCCCAGAGGTGAAATAGTAAGGTGAAGGCCTCCAGAATACTTTGTTGATGAAAACTAGTGGTATTGAGATATGATGTGCTTGCCTGCACATGAAGCTTTTTCCTAGATAGAGAGGTATATTTTATAGACTTCAATTAATAACTACATTTGAAATATCAACTGTCTGCTCTTGTGACACGGAAAGCAGATTTAGCCAAAAGGTGACTGCTTTTGAAGAACACTGCTGATGATATACGCATTTAAGTGAAGCAGTAATAACGTTTGGAGTTTCCTTTTTCACTCAAGGAATCCACAAAGTGTTTCACTCCGTCCCTGCTCAAACTGTGCAGCTGCTTTGGGGTTGGGACATGCCTGTGACTTTGTGGCATGACAAAATATAGGACAGTCTAGACAAGAAGTCAGTAGTGGGCTGCTGGGCTCCTTGTATTCAGACTCCAATTCCTGAACTGTTCTGTTTTTCCCAGAAGATGTTGATGCACCATCATGAACAGAAAACAAAGGGTATTAGGTAGTCTCTTGGTTTAAAAGGTTTCTTACTTCTCTCATCATAATAGAACCCCAATTTTTAATCCTACGAGCCATAGAACTATAAAGCCATGGTTTTCTTAAGTACAATTCTCCGTCCAGGTCATTGTCATTACTTATTTCTACCTCTTTCAGATAAAGGAATATTGTCCCTTGGTGTAGCCTCTTTCTTACTACTTTTACTCATATTGAAGGTTCTTGATGCAGGGATTATTTGTAGCACTCTCACTGCTTGTCGTTACTGCCTCCGAGTTCACAAATCCCACACCGAGATCACATAACATAGCGCAGCATTTCTTGGACATGTAGCACCACATTAAAATGTCATTTTAAGTAATTAATATTTTATTTATAAATACTTATAAATATTTATTATAAACAAGGCTTTAAGCAGCAGCTCATGAGAAAACAATCTATTACATTTGTATTAAAACATATTCAAAAGTTTAATTGTAAGAGAGGCTATTCAGCTGAACTGTAAAAAAATTCATAGCAGTGCGTTGCTTTGGCCAGTTCATGTCAGGCTGCCACGTTGAGATGAGAAGGTGGATTTCATTGTGTTCCACACTAAATCCAAGAAACCAACCTCCAGTGATTTAGGGAACAGCTATAAATACTCCATGTTCTTTTTTTTTTGTTCCATGTCTTATTTGGGCAATACTTCTGTTCATGACTGGGTCAAATGCTGCTCTTGAAATCCCCTGTATGACTCATGGCTGAGGAAGAGCTTTGCTGGATTTGACGCATGAGGGTTTGTGCCTACTGGAAAGCTGCTGAACATGGGGTTTGTCCTTCTGACTTCTGCTGTGGGCTTTATATTTAGTCCTGAAGGGACCCTCAGTCTGCTGATCCAGCAAATCAGAGATCTAGCTCCACTGGGGTCATCTTCTGTTTGGTAGGGATCCTTCCTTCCTTTCTTGTGACACACCACTTGAAGTAGTTTTATTCCCCTTTCCTGTGAAGTCTTTCTAGGAAAGCATGGAGGCATAGCTTTCTCAGGCTGTTCCCCCAAAACATTATTCCTTTTAGGAGAAGAATATATTTGGCTGAGACCCACCCCTTCATAATACAGGGCTTTAAATATGAATAACATAAAATAATAAAACAATCAAAATAATCGTCAGGACTGGTAACTGTTTTACACCTCTAACCAGAATGACCAACCATCTCTGATTAAGTATCCTACAGAAGCATTTAAATTCAGCAGGTTTAATAGTTCTTAACAACTCCCATTGATGGTATTATTTTTCATTGGGAAGAAAAATGGTTATTGCTCGCATTGACCTCTAGTAAATCTTGTCACCCAGCCCATACCCTAGTCCCGAAATATAATTAAAGCACTCTGTTTTGATAATAGTGACTTACAAAAGTGTAGGAACTAGTATTTACATTTTCCCTTTTTATTGCTCTTAAGTTTGGTATGAAAAGAAAGGTAATGCAACCAAATTACCTAAAATAGCCAGGACGGATTTATTTCTGTCTAGGAGTGTTGTAGTTTACATACATCAAATATATATATAACATATATATATGTATATGTTCTAGGATTACCGCAGTGTTTGATGGGCCTTTTATTTTTTTCACTGTGGTGATTTTAGATTCGATCCACAGTGTAAGCACCTTCAGAGGACCACAGCAGTTGTTTTTACCCCACGTAAAAAAAAGTGTCTAAACAGATTAATAAAACTCAGGTTTGTAGCCATATATTTCTGAGAACTGCTGTTCATAATATTTTGTGTTGTTGTAGCAACATGCTCCTCATCTATATTTAGTTTAATAGCTGCTTTTTGGAATATTGCAAGCTAGTACAGTATATTATCAAGTGGTTTGAATGACATCATAACCTATGAGTGTCATCTCTTGTGGGTTATAAAATCCTCCCAAACCCTCCGTTTGTATTAATGGCTTGTAATATAATTTTAAACCAGGTATTATAGTTTACAGTGGAAGGATAAAAATCCTGGCCTGCCTCGTACAGTGCACTGGGGGAAGAAGAGGGCAAAGCAAAGTGTCTTTCCCACCTTACTCATGTATGGACTGTTTGAGATGGGCAGTATGGTGCTTACTGGGCTTAGGCATTGTCAGTGGCCCAGGAGAAGTCTGTCAGTGTCTAGAGGG